ACTCACGTGATGAACTCGCTCGGGCCCAGTTTCATGCTACATTTTCCTCGCCAATTAGCTCTCTATCGACCTGATCAATTCGATTGTTTTAATAACAATTTATCTCTGATACCATGATTACTTAATATCTGCGACGATAGTTTATATAATGATGATTCATTATGTTTTTTTTTTGTCTGAGATCCGTTTCTGTTGAATGCCTGCGTTTCGCTTTACGCCTCTTCCGGGTCTCTCGTGATTGATAAGCATCGTTTTTCTTCTTTCTATAGCGTTTATCTACACCAAATTGTTTTCGTGGCTCATTTCTACTTTTCAATGCGTGGACATTGAGAATTAAAGTATCAATTAATTTTATTACATCGTGATTTCTTATCTGTAGAAAATTGAACTTGGTACACGACTTTTTATTTATCCACTGTATTACAGTACTAATTACCTTGATAATTGGTAATTGGTAGCTTTGTAAATTTCGCCAAGTAACTTCGCTAATTGGTAACCAATTATTGAAATTCTCAAGTTATAATTTCATTGAGACATTAAACGTTTCAGTGGAATTGGCCTAAAGGTGTAATTATTTAATTTTTTAATTTCAGTTCTTAATTTAACACCTCACGCTCTTGGTGTAATTCAAGATTATTCTTTCCTTTTTCTATTTAATCTTTTGAACCGGATTGTTTGAAAAAATAAATTCAACTTGTTAACAAATTGACCGTTCAATCTACAGAATTAAAAATCCTTTACAACTTGTCATAACACTGATCTGATTATCCGTAACAGTGTACAAACAAATATAACAGAGAGCAATTTTCACTTACAAATTCACGAAAAAGCAATTAAGAGTTGCTCGGAGATTCGTGGAGTGTTTCGACGACAAACATTCGATGGCAATTTTGATTATCACGAAGGTGTTGTCGGTCCATTCGAAACAACAAGCATGTCGATCGGCTCGAGCGACAGGTGAAAAGGTTTTTGCAATGAAATCACATCGTGTTTTTGCAATCAAACGAATGACGTCATGCACAGACAGAAAAATGAACAGGTATTACTCCTCGATGAAAATGAATCATATCACTGCATCATCAATTGCCATTGACACTTAAGTTGTGCAAATTCATTTTATACACTTGATTTTTCGCATCTCGGAGCCAATTTTTGCGATATGTTTACAAAAATGTTCACAGAATGATTCATCCTGATTTTCTGTAAAATTTTCATACGATGTGCTTCGCAGTTGGAACGCTCTTAGTATCGACAAGTTCATTAGTTATCAACTGGATTGCATTTTCGAAAGCATAAGTCACTTAGACGGAGTACATAAAATCCAATCGAACGCGTTCTTCATTCAATTCATTTCATTTGCGCAAAATGATACATTTTTAATTAATCGATCGCCTGAAAGATATTATATCTTGGACTGTTCGGCTCGCACATGGAGTCCGAATCGAGAGCAACCAATTACCTTAATATCCGAATGAATGACAGAAAACATTCAGCCCCCGGTTGTCAGCCCGTAACGCCCGTAATTTATTATAATGCAACGATTATCCCTGACGTAATCGGTAATTATACATACCGAATTATTGATCAAATTCACGTGTACAGCTCGTTATTCTTCTCGAACATCGATCCCGTTGAATTATCGTTGTAATCGTTTTAAGATACGAGAAACTCGATAAGAAAATGAAATGAAGCAACGAGACCTCGAAACGGCCAGCTTAAAAAATTGTTTCTTGCAACGAAATTTATTTTTTTCCCTCCGTTTTTAACATTCGCGAATATTGTAGATACAAGGTAGCCAAGGTACGTTGGGTAATTCTACCGGTGAAAAAAAAAATATTTTTGTAAGCAGTATCGGAGTGTGAAAGGGAACGAAGCAAACGAAAAAGAAAGATCGTTCGCTTCGGCGAACTAGATCGATCCGCGTGTCTAGGAGTTATGTTGCTTGCGCAGCTTGTGCGCACATCTTTGTACACCTGTACACGTGTGTCAGGGAAAACACGATTCTCTCGTTGGTAGCGGAATCCTCTCACACAAGTTCCATCGGGATGCAAGATTGCGCAGAACGCATGTGACTTAGCTAAGTCATATGACTTGAAGAGAAAGTCGATCCTCCTCGCGGGCACGAGATAGAATGCGGCTTGTCGAGTGGTTGTTACGATCAGGGTCGGTCGGCCGACACGAGGATCGAAGAGGATTCGTGTTAATTTAAGAATGATCGATTATCAATAGAATTACATTAGACAATTTTCATTTTTTTTAAAAACGATCTATGATATGTTGCAAAATTGTTAATTTTTAAATTTTAATTTTTCCTTCAACAGCGGAGCCTGGATGAAAGGATATTAACCTAAAGTTAAATGTATATTTTTTTGAAGTAAAATTTAGACGGGGCACTCTCCATGGTCCGCCATTTGAAAGTTTTTATTTGATACAGTAGATAAAAATAATTGCTTAAAAATGTGAAAGTTACAAATTTGTAGTATTACTTATCAAAGTGTTAATTTTATAATAATCAAATTTTTATTTTCAATTATTACAAGTGAGCTTATAATTAACAGCACATTTCAATATCAATAAACCTTTGAATGCGAACATAATGTGGGGTTGTAAATTACATTTGCATTAATTAGACAACAATATATGCCTCGTCGTGTCAAATTATTTTCATTGAAAATAAACGGGCTTGAATCCGCCCTACAGCTTGCCGGACAGTTATTTATAGCAAGTAATTTGCCAAGTTTGCTCAGGTCAGTCGTATACCGATTGCTTTCGCGCGTGATATCATCCATTGTTCCTCGGAGCTTTCTCCTTTGGTTCGCGAAGAAGTCGCGAAAAAGGGGACCGACACGCAGGGGGGCGTATTTATCGATTCATCGGACGATAAAAATCTAAATGGCTCATTCGTCTCTCGAGACTGGTCTCGAGTTGAAGCTCGAAGTCAGCTTCGAATGAACGAGTAGGAGCTGGAGATATGTATATTGAGAGAAAGAGAGAGAAAGGAATTTTAGTACGCGTAGAGTTGCGTATTCTGACCTAGTTTTTATTCCAAACCGAACAAGTCACCCATTCTCAATTTTCTAGATCATTTGATCGATGATGATTTCTTTGTCCTGTGACTTTCGCTCTTTGAAGTTCAAATTCACTTTCTTCATTTTCAAAACTTTTTTCCTCGTAACTCTTACTAATAATACCAGGAAAAATGATTTAACTTGTAATAAGGAAAATACTTCCGAGATTAAAAAGCGTAGATAATTAATTGTTGACTTCTTGATTTATCCTTTGAAAGCTCTAAGTTACCCGTAAGTCAAATTAGTTTCATTGCTGACATTTACGCGTTATCACTGAATAAGACCATGATAATTACAAGAAATTTCAGTGTTTATTATTTTTATTAGAAACCAGTTTATGTGAATTTCTTTTAATACTCTCGCACAGTGTTTACCTTCAGACGTGTCCTCGACTTCTAGCTGCAGAATGTTGCAACATCTGGAATGAAATTCCGCCTTTGCACGCAGGATAATATTTTGTCGTCTATCGGCTCGAAATAGATTCTTGCCGATCGTTTTTTCTTGGAATAGAAATCGCTGTTCAATCCTTTCGGTCGAATTAACCCGACGACATTCGAATATATTCAAAACTTATTTCAAAGAAATATTATTTAAACTATGTTTGTTTAAACGTAACTGTTTATTCATAGGCTTGAAATAATATTAAATATTGGTCTGTAGTTGAGTTTACGATCAATGTTTCACGGAACTTTCGTTCTTTTGCATACCTCGCTGCGTGATTCACAGTAGGCGAGTCCAGTCTGTATATCCTGTATCGCCTATATCCTGTTGTATCCATTGTTTCAAGTCCTGTTGGTGGTCAACTGTCGGGATATCTTTGGATCATAATATTAGTCCTCAAAACTCGTGCACCTTTATTCTTCTTAATCTGCGGCTCGATTGCGCGCACACTTTTACGTAACGACTTTGCGCACTTATAATTAGAAAAAATTTAATAGCATTTAACACGAATACTTATAGGAATTTCAGTGAACTGATTAAATTTAAATGATTTCTTGAATTAATTTCAGTTATCTTGCCGACCTTACGTTTCGTGGAATACTAAGACTCATTGTTCTCTTTAGAACTACTCCAGTCTCTAAAGATTCCAGAAAATAATAATTTTAACACCATTAATAATAATAATCGCGATTAATATACTATAAAAATTTATAAAAATTCAATTATTACCAAGAAACGATTTAAAATTTCTCTTTTAGAGGCTTAAACCGGTTTAATTATAAATTTCGATCGGCTAGACGTACCATCCGGATAATAATGGGGGTCCGGTCATTTCTATTCTCCCACGCGGACAGCATCGACACGCGGAGAGCATTACGAGGGTCTCTGTTTTATCAGAGGTGTGCTCCATTGTACGGCAGGGTGCCAATACAAGGGAAATACGGTGAAAAGGGAAGAGTTTTCTGTCCTTTCAGTAGAGATTTATCGACGTTTCAGAGCCGCGGTGTTCGTTCTAATTAATGGCGGCCACCTTTTACGGTGTTAATCCTCGTTTCATGTAATTCGGCCGGCGGCTCTCATTGTGCGCGCGCGTGCATGCAGAAAGTGAGAGGACATACGCTCCTCTCGTAATAGGTTGCTTGAGATCACTTTCACAACGGGAGCAAGGTCTTATATTTTTTCGTGTGGATGTTTCGTTGGTTGCTTTCGTTGCTTCGATTGGGGGTGGGAGACTGTTGCGAGAAATTTAAATATACACGTGGTCTTTTGGAAAAAGTTGCACAATTTAACTATTAAACCTTTAAGTTGTAGTACTAAACAGGAAAATAATCGAGGAATTTAAATGATGATGCGTTGTGAATAGTTTGAGGATGGTTTGATTTTTTAAAGTAGATTTATTGTCCATTTAACTTGACTTTATAGTTTTCATAAGAAATGGATGATAATTGTGAAAAATTCGAAAGATCATTTCCAAAATTGTTATTTCTCTTCTTTTTTTTAATTAATTCATTAAATCAAATTTAAAGTGCCGGGCACTGGGGAATGCATTAACAATCAATGGGTAAAACAGAAATCTTTATTGTGATACTGCGGATAACAACATCGGTAGCGCCACCTTACGTACAACTTCCTAACATGTTCCAACTCACAAGTGACTTTATCTACTGAATCTTGCTAAAAATATAATTTATTATAAAGATATAGAATTGTGCTCTACATTATGTTAGTAACATGGTTATATCTCATTTTAATATTCTACTAGAAAAAACAAGATAATTCATAATTTTATTTGTAGTAATGTGAAGTATTAAAATAATAAAAAAAATTCAAAGATTAAAAAAGAAACATTTGGATAAACAGTTTTATGGTTTTTGTTTATCATTGCTGCTGCCGGCATTACTGTTGCTGCTGTCGGCATTATCGTTGTTGCTGTCGGCATTACCGTTGTTGCTGCCGGCACCACTGCTGCTGCCGGCACCACTGCTGCTGCCGGTATGATTGCTGTTGCTGCCGGCATTTGGCATCATTATTATTGGTTTCATTGTTATTGGCTTCATTGCTAGTGGCATCATTGCTGCTGGCATCATTGGTGCTTCTAACATTGTAGAATTTGATAAGGAAGTCGATGGTGCTGAAGAAGTTGTCGATGAAGGTTTCGTGCTAGGCTTGTCCGATGACTTCATTGTTGATGATGATGGTCCGTGAGGCAGATATAATTCTGGACATTTTACGGCGCAGGCAAGATTCATTAAATATGGCATCTTGTCTGACGACATGCAGGAAAAATTGCAAAAGGACTTTCGTATAGGATCAAGAAGATCAAAGCCGAATCTTGGTGAACCTTCGATAAACTCTTCCGTTGAATGTTTTTTCTCTGAAAATTCTTCCTCTGAGAATTCTTCTTCGGACCATTTTTTCTTTGAAAATTCTTCTTTCGAAAATTCTTTCTGTTGAAATAAAAGTCGTGACAATTAAATTTCTCAATTTTGAAATGCAGAAAATAAACGTTTAAGACAACTTGTTCAACACAATTTAAAAAATTAAAAAATATTATTTTCCTCGTAACAGATACATACAATATCATTATTAGTTCTAAATTAGAACGATATATACTTCAGATTTTGTTTGGAAAATTGAAATTAGTGATAATTTACACTGATAACTTTTCATTGAAATATGATTTCTGTTGGTGTAAGCAAGTTTTCAAAATGTTAGAGAAACTATGGCAAGTCTAACCTGTGACCAAACAGATCCGATCAATATGAGCAAAGCAATCCATGCGGTAAAGCGCGACATAACGAACTCGCTGTGAAGCTGATTAGCCGTCGAGTGACACGAACAATATTTTCTCGCAAAATTTTCCTTCCAACTTATATACCAGACACTCTGGCGACCATGAATCGTTAAAAATTCTTGCTTGTCCTACTCCTGCTATCCGTGATTTTCTATAACATCTCCTTGAAAATGATGGTTACTTATTCCAGAAGATAAGATACATTTCTTATCGTGTCTCTTTGTTAAGGGAATATTTTATGCAAAATTAACAATGACGAACTAAAATTACAAATATTTTTTTGTAAATTTCAAAAAAGAATATCAGACATATAATAACATTGGATATTTTTTAATCAATGTTTATAGCGAAGTGATGAATTTCATGATGGATTATTTTTTTCTTCATCTATTCTAATTTGCATAAATTAAAACATTCGTGCGTGACCGATGAATGAAGAAAAGAATCGGGTTGTCGATAAATCCACCTGTCGTGTGTTAATGTCGTGCGACAGATCGAAATCCATTATATTTCTGTGTTCTATAGTCACGTTGTGTTAATTATCATATCAAAAGCACGAATATCGTGTTATTTTATCTTGCGATCCCTAATTGTATGCAACCTGCTTTGCATCTGCGTGCATTGCTAAGGCTGTATAGTTGGTTCTCTATTGTCTTGGTTAATTAAATTGTACCTGAGAAGAAATATATCAGGAGCATTAATAATTCTGAATCTTTTTTCTGAGAGTACTCATAAAATTAAGAAATTCATGAGAGAAAAAGGAAATGAAAGGTGTCAAAGGTGTAAATTATTGAGACCAAATAGGGGGATCATTATCATCCTGATAGAGAAGTTCTTTATTTTTGATTTTGTGATATTCCTTTTATTGATTTGAACTGGATAATGAAGATTTGAGAATACATATAAGACGTTGATCATATCCGAATTGTGCTTATGACCTTTCACGCAGGACAGCTTAAAGTTACGTCAATGGTGTGCATTGTTCGAGAGAGCTGACTGGTTGGAAGGCGATAGACACCACGTGATCCTGCTACCAATGACGCCAGGGAATATCAACGGGTCGATAACAATGAAACCGACAACGAAGCCTCGGGAATATTCTCTTTGCCTTAGTCCGCCCTGGCTTTTCTATTTTCTGCTATTTTTCCTTAATGCAAGACCTTTGACTACCATAACTTAATTAATTTTTACTCATTAGCAAATTTTCATTTTTTTTAATAGCTTTTTGAGTTTATCATACTGCTCTAGTGGAATTGTATGTACAGTCTTGGGCATGGTGGATTTCCCCAGGGAAAATAGTAGTATAAAACTATTTAATTTTTGTTTTAAAATATAACCAAGTAAAACTTATTTGGTGGATAAATTTATGGTGGATACCTATATTTTAGATTTATGTAAATAATACTACCATATGAAGAAATATTTTTATTATTATTAATTATTAAAATTATTATTTATTCCTAAAAATAGTTTATGGATTATCCTGGTATCACTTCCTTGCCAGACGTCGACAATGCAGAGTACTGTATGAAAATGTATTGATCATTTTACTGAAAATAATTTTCACTGAATTCAAAATTATTACTGAACTAATTATACTTAATACGTTTAAATACATTTGAAGAAAATTGGGAAAATTTTTACAAATATTATTGAAAATATTCTGAATCAAAGTTTACTAAATTCTTAAATAATTGCTAATTAAATAGGAATAAATGATAATTTTAAAAACATAGTAGATTTTCACTAATTTCGTTCAGTTTCTTGAGGTGTCAGGAAACATTGTCATTGCGGAAGTTACTGTAAGTTGATGTATCAATTAGTTGTTTTACACAACTAGCCTCCTAGTAAATGGAAGATCATTATTCGTGAAAGTAATCGAACCCGTTATGAAACTCGTCTTTTAAGAAAGTAATCTAACCGTAGTGGGGCTTTCGTAATTCTTGTCTGAATCTCTAATTAGACCCGCATATGCCAATCGATCCTCCTTCAGTCACGCACCAACTCGTGTTCAAATCGTGAGAGAGAACAGGGCAGTGGATATTAGTCGACATTTAGATTGAACTTTTCAATATTCACGTGACCGATTATCATTAGATTCCTAACAAAATTACCATTTCACACAATACACTTTTTTCTAACTCTACGGAATTTTTTCTTCTACCAAGGATAAACTGTCTCTTTTAACATTACCCACCGCCGGTAATATCACAGTCACATCTATATCTTCTCGTCTGGCGCTATATTTCTGACCAAAAGAAATCTATCTTTAAAAACATCAAATCCACCATTTCTTATAACACTTTTCTATCTAACAGTGATTAAATTAACAAAAATATCCTTGACAGTATAAACTCTGTCGATAACAAACTCCCAAGCATTTCTGGGAATCCCCTAGTTGAGTCTATAGAAATATTTGCATGAAAGCTGTTTAATGCTCATGTAGTATGAAATTTAAGTTTCCCTTAGTTAAAAGGAAGTGTAGAAGATGTAGTGCCCCCCACTCGTCTTGTTTGTCCATAATCTTTACTTGTGGAGGCAAGAGGTTCTAGGTTAGGTTCTCCTTAGGTTCTCCCAACACCAAAGGCAAGTGGTGGGGCGTTCCTAACCTTACATTTACCCTTAACTAAAAGAAGCCTACCACCTGAGTGTACATACATCAGTTCGAATCAACGTCCTTTACAATGGTGTTGTCCAAAAGTTTGCCCTTATGGCACGTGGATCAGACATCTTCTTCTACTTATGTTACCATATCTACCATCACTCCCAATAGATTATAATCATCAGAGCATCTAGTGGACAGGTCCAAGTCCCAAGAAATCATGTACTAGTCCTGTCTTAACACAAGTTATATAGGTACAAAGACAGAAAAGTATCCTGACTGATAACTAGACGAGGATCTGGTTAATTAGCCGCACGGTTAGATAACGCTCTTTATCTAGATCGTGCGGAACGATCAGGTTGTGCAGCAGCGCAAACGTGCACCAGCCCAGCAGCCAGTCGGCACTCGATTGGCGGAGAAGCGTACGGCGTGGATGGAGGAGGCGAAAGCTTACGAGGGTCTGTTATAGAGGAGAGGCGTAGAGGAGAGGCAGGTGGCGGAGTTCTCGTTCTTTACAGAGAACTCCACCGGTAGTCGCCTCCTTGACGTTCCTCTGGGGGGTTTCAAGCTCGCGCGTGGGAGTAGAAGCTGATAGTAGCGTGGGGTGCATATCGAAGGGAAGATGAGAACGGGTGGAAGAAGGTTGGGTGGGTGGATGGGTGGTTGGTCGGTCGGTTGGTCGGTTGGTTAAGTGGTCGGAGGGAGAAAGGAGAGAGGAAGACGACAGACTGTGCGGGAGTAAGGAGCGTGGCAAAGGGCGGTCGGGGAGGTTAGAAGGCCGAAAGAGTGGGGGATTGCCGAGGCGTGGGTGAGCGGAGCCGTCGGTAAAGGAGCGACGAAGAAAGGAGAAAGACGCGCAGAGTATGACACGTAGACGGTGGTAGAACCAGGCAGATAGGGAGGCTACAAAGTGGAATGGAAAAAGGAAGGGTACGACGTCGAGGGAGAAAGAGAGGGACGAATGAATGACTGAGGGTGTAACAAGAAAGACGGAGATACTTGAACGTGCACAGGATGTAGTAAGAGAGAATGAGAAACGTTATGACGGAAGGTGAGAAACACGGGTTGAGGATGAACGGAGATGGAAGGGACAACAGGGATAGTGATACGGTGTAAAGACAAATAGAGCGGGAATGCAATAAGGAGAGACGTAGCTCGAATATACATACATACATACATATTTCGAAGGAAGAGGAAGGCAGGAGGAAGTGAACAGAGAGGGACGACGTGTAGGATGAAGAAAAAGAACAATCGAGAGAGATAGCTCGAACAGATAGGCACGTCCGGAGTGAATGAGACACAGAAACGGATGAATCCTAGAGGAAAAGGGTACGGATGAGAATCTAACGTTGAAGGAGCGATGATGAGAGAGAAGGAGAGTACCGAGAGCAAGTAGAAGAGAATGACGAGGGTGAGAGAGAGTGAACAAGTGAGTGAAGCGAGGGAGGATGGGGGGGGGGGGGGGGGGGGGGGGGTAGAGAGGGCAAAGCAGAGAGTCGACTCGGATATGAGGGTGTCGCGCAAGCCGGTCACGCCGAGGTTTCCATGGCAACGACAGGCGATAAATCAACCCGCAACATCCCCGAGTACCGCCAGATAAAACCGCATACACATATGTGTATACGTACATATACGCGTAGAGGAGATACCGACTGGTAACTCCGCGCCCAAAAAGTTTTCCCTTCGACCGATTTATACCGCCGTTGCTTGCAACACCGAACGCCTTACCCATCGAAGAACTCTTTCTCCCTTTTCTCCTCTCTTTTTGCCCCCCTCTTTGTATGTACTTACCTCTTTCGACTACCTTCCCATCTCTCTCTCTTTCTCTCCTCCGCCAAGTCTTTTATAAACTTATCTTTTTCTCCCTTTACTCCTCTTCATTCCAGTTCCCCTGCTTTTCCTTTTCTCTTTATTATTCTTCTCCCTCTCGCTTCTTTAGAAGACACCGCTCTCTCTTCTTTATCGCTCACCTTTGCTCTCCTTCCTCTTCGCGAGGTCCATGCTCTCTCTTTTCCCGTTCGCCTCTCTGTTTCCCTTTCTCGTTCATTTGTCTCTTGCCTCTCTGCTATGCATCGCAATACAACACAAGGTGTACACACCGAGTCCCTCGGCTACATATGCACTAGGGCTGTTAAGGGAATTTCAATACTCGGTGTATTCGAATAATCTTGAATAGGAATTTTGTATTTGGTAGTTAAAACACTTTAGATATTGGATTATTCGAAATTTGGGTATTATAATATTCGAAATTTGGATATTAGAATAATCAAAATTTGGGTATTATAATATTGGAATATTCGAAATTTGAATATTGGAGCAATCAAAATATGACTACTTTGAATATTCGAAATTTGAATATTACAGCTATTTGGATTATTGGGATTATTTGAATAAAGAATTCGAATTACTCGAATAGTTAAACTATTCGAAGTTTTGCACCCCTAGTATGCACGGTGGTTGACCTATCGTGTCGCATACCACGACCTCGAGGTGTCCTATCGCCATCCTTCTCAAC